GGTTGGGCCTGGTCATATCCCACTGACTGGACATTCAAGGTAACAACTCTATTGCCTCCCCTTTTCTTTCCTTTCCAGTCCACTGCTTCTAGAATTCAAGAGCTTCTGCATTTTAACTGGAGATGTGTGTGTGTGTGTGTGTTTCCTGCATTGAGAGGGGACTGTGTGTGAAACCTGCATGAAAGGCAGCCTAAAGATCCCAAAGCAGACAAGACTCTTACTGAAGGAGAATTCTGAAAATCAAGATTGTTTTTCCTCATGAAATTAATCTTAAAGAAATTAAATACATTTTTTTTTACAGCATCTGGGTATTGCAGTTTCATTTCACAGGCAATCAACAAGCTGCTTGGAAGAGGAAAGGAGTGCTGGGGATTTTCTCCTGCAAGTAGAATAAAAACTGTTTCTCAATTCTTAAAGTTGGGTTTTTTTCCCCTTTTGTTTATACCCCAGCTAATTTGTTACCTCCTTTGCTTTATTGGATTTCTGTCAACCAAAGCAACTTAAAAGTGGGAAGTGTTACCAATTTAAATGGGTGGGTTCTTTCTTGTGAGTGAGTGTGTATTTAAGACCGAAATGGCAATGGTGGGGGAGAAGGAAAAGAAAGAAAAACGCAGGGAAGAAAGGTTGGGGGTAAAGAAAAGAAGAGAGATTATGACACAAAGATTTCAGCTTCAACAAAATTGAGATTTGGTCCCATTCAATTCGTACACTGATCTCTCAAGAAAACATTTCTTTCACATTTTCAGGAAGAAATCCGAGGTTGTTATGAAATGGTTACAAGGTTACCGTGTGATGTGTTTTAGATGTATCTGACTTGGTTTTATTTTTTCCTTTTAAAAAAAAGTTAGAAGTGCTGTAATTAGCAGCAGGATTCTCCCACTGCGGATGGCAGAGGCTACACTCGTTACTTTCCTGAGTGATTTAGAATATTAAAATGTGAAGCAGGAGTTTTCCGTGTACCTGGGTTCAAAGACTTCCAAAATCATGATTTAACAATTTACGTTCATATTGCCTCGTTTTTTCCTACGGTGTAGACTTTTAGCTATTCGATTTACGGCGGGCAGCTCCCCACAGCCCCTAGCAGCCTCTACTTGCTGGAAGAGGCTAAATGAGACATTTCGTGATTCCTCAGAATGTCATTTCCCAAACTGACAGCTGGGCAGATTGAATGAAGTATTGTTTTGAATTTCTGTGAACAAGCTAACCAGACATCAAGTACTTTGATGGAAAAAGGAAGAAAGGGAGTGTATCCATATATTTTATAAGTAAAAAAAATTTTTTTTTACATTGCAAAAAATGCTAACAAATAAACATCTTCTTATTTGGAAAGTATATCTGTCCTGATTTTATGCTGTGATAATAGGCCATGTGTGGTTTTGAACTGAAACTTTCATTATTGTAGGACCAACCTCTACTTTTATTTCTTAAAAAACAACTTTTGGGGGGGATTCCTAATTATCAGTGACCAATTTCTATTTTTTTAAATATGTTTGTGATTGTAGCACAGAGAGAGCAGGTTAAGGTTCTGGACAGTTCCAGGACTGGCTTGTCTCCCCTTCTGATTTATTCCTCCCATAATAAAGATTGTGTTCCAGAGTTCAGCTAAAAACTCCATTGTTAAACTGAGAAGCAAAAATAGATACTCAGCTTAACTTCTCCAACTGAATGTGACTGTGATTCATGGGAGTTTAGACCGTAAGTTGACGTGGGTAGAAGCAACTTCAAAACAAGGAAACAGAAAAGTTCGAAATGGCAGAATATTAATTTCACACTGTAACTTTTCAGAGACTTAATTGTGTTATACAATGATCTGTGCAATGAAGAACACTATCTTAGACTCCTATTGTTTATGGAAGGAATAAAAACTTTTTACTGCATCCAGAAAGCTGCAAAATATAGCATATACATATTTCTTGTTCATATACTCAAAATGGATTTCTGTAATGAATTTCTACCTATATTCTGTGGGAAATATAAAAAGAATGAGATTGACATCAGTTTTTGTCAGTTTATTCATCATTGATTCATCATTGATTCATTAATAATTTATTTATCCTTCAGTGTTTAATACAGGCTTATTATTCTCCATTTTCACGGTGATGAGGATCCAGATAGGCACAGAGAAATACAGAAATTCAAAACTTTAAGTATTTTGTGCTCCAGTAGAGATGTCTCTTAACTACAGCAGTAATGAGAATATAAAGGATAGGTTGGGAAGAGGATGTTTATTTTAGCAAAATTTTATTGGACATTTTATGAAACTTTTAGTGCCATAATCATTTCAGCGAATAGCAATCCCTCATTGTTTATTTCCAAGACAAGCTAATTAGTTGTTAAACATTTGTTATGAGTCAGTAGTATATTAAATATTTTGAATGCAAAAATTTTTGTATAATTTCTTCATTTTATTGAACATATTTTTATACCTATGCTAGCCAATATAAAGAGTACAAAAAATGTACTTCATATGAGCAAGACTGACATTCTGGGTTTTGATTATTATTTGCAGTCTTTGTCTATGCTCCTGAGAAGTATAAAGTTTTTAGTAATTGATTTTTAAAATTTTCTGCTTGCTATGTGTTAACATTTTTCCTAATGGAGTGCTAAGGCTGTGATTTCAAAGTGAAATGAAAGTATGTCATTTTAAAAACTAAGTTAGAAAGAAAAAAAATAAGGAAGAAGAGTGAGTGGAAAGTATCACTCTGATCCTAAGTCTGTGAGCTTTGTTCACTTTACATAAATAAACAAAATTTCAAAAAGAATGAAAAAGATTAGGAAACTAAAGATTAGGAAGAAATAGTTAATTCAAAGTTACCCACTTAGCAAATGGTGGAGTTGGAATTCCAACTTAGGTGTGCCCAAAGCTACTGCTGTGTTTTTGTTCTCGAACTTTTGCCAACAATGTTTATTTATGGAAGAATAAAATCAGTTGTGCATTTTAGTGCAGTAATTATGGTTATAATAAAAAGGGTGGGTTAGTGAGTGGAGACTGAAAGCAGTAGTTGCAAAAGTTGCAAAAGACTATTTCTACTATAGTGGTTGGTTTCTATATGAAAAGAGATCAGAAGAGGACTTTTAGTAAGTGCTTCATAAATCTTAACCATTGTTATTATTTAAATTAGTAATATTACTGCTACTGTGTGAGTGAAAAAGAAATTATATGAGTTTAAAAAGCCAGAGGTTTCGGGCCCGGCGCGATGGCACAGTGGTTAAGGTCCTCGCCTTGCACGCCCGGGATCCCATATGGGCGCCGGTTCTATCCTGGCAGCCCCGCTTCCCATCCAGCTCCCTGCGTGTGGCCTGGGAAAGCAGTGGAGGACGGCACAAAGCTTTGGGACCCTGCACCCACATGGGAGACCTGGAAGAGCTCCTGGGTTTGGATTGGCTCAGCTCCAGCCATTGCGGCCGCCTGGGGAATGAATCATCGGATGGAAGATCTTCCTCTCTGTCTCTCCTCTCTGTATATCCGCCTTTCCAATGAAAATAAAATAAATCTTAAAAAAAAAAAGCCAGAGGTTTCAAGTTTAATGGGCTTGAATCGGCCTTTGAAGTATAGACAGATGTGTAGGATGTGGCTTAGCACTTCCCAAAGTGGAGAAGATATTAATAAAGGCAAAAATGATCATTTCATGGGCATATAACAATGACTTACATGTTTTCTACATGTAAAGAAGTCTTAGTAAAATAATCAAAAGGGAACAATGTAATTTAGTGTTTAAGAGTGTGGGCTTGGAGTGCTGATGCTTGAGTTTGAATGGCATATCATATACTTGTTGCATATCAGGCACTTTTTTTCTTACTAATTATTTACCAGTTAGAGGTAATAATACTGCTTATCTCATTGACTAAGAACAACATCTAGAACATAATAAGTTCTATATTAGGGTTAAGTATTTTCATTACTAAAGAGAGAATAGAACTATTATGAATAGTTTTGAGTTCTAGGGCAAGAATTTGATAACCAAAATGGATACACTGGAGATGCTTAAGCAGAGTAACATGAGAATAACTGATCTGGTAACAATACTTAGAATAGCTTCGAATGAGGATAGGAGGATAGATATGGATAGGTAGCAATCAGTCATGTCCAGCTCAGATAAATTCTTGTAATAGTATAGTTTGAAGAACAGGAAATTGTAGCTTTGATCACGTCTATGTAAGAGATATAACAAAGGCATAGTTTCCAGGCTAGTGAGGAATGTGAATGAGGAAGATGAATGAGTCATCAAAGATGACTCTGAAGGCTGGATAATTGTGAGAAACTTATGCTACCTCCAAAAAATGTGACCAATTTGGGCTGGAAAAATGATGACAGAGGTAAGTAATAACAACTTGCCTTTACAACTTGCATTTTATCAAACATTTACATATACCAAGAGAATTGGAAATGCCAAGTTCAAGGGCATCAGCAAGTGCTTTTCAATATGGAAAGAGAAAACAGCAAAATTTGGAGATCAAAGAGAAACATGTGTAAGCGTGCCCGTTAGAGCAATGAGTTGAAAACAATCTGGGTGTTAATAACCAGGATAGTGGATGGTAATATATGATGGATATAGGGATGAAGAATGAAATATTTAATACAATAGCATATACATGTATCTAAAACCATAAAACCCATTTTGTGAATGCACATACAAACAAAAATATACATACTAAACTTATCAGAATGGAAGTGGAACATAAGTACTAATTAGAACTAAATAAACATCCCAGGCGGGGTCTCTTGCAGGGACTTTGATGTCAGGAATTTTTGAGTTTGATCATCTAATGCACCAGCACTCAGAAGAACATAAAACAAATTTGCAAAGCTAAACCATGTATTATTTCTCTATGCTACCTTTGTCAATTTAAAAATAATTAATGAGTAAAAGGTTATGCTTCTGCTGGAATGTCTTGATGTGTATGTGTTTGTGCATGTGTGTGTACAAGTAATTAATAAAAAGAACCTCTGCACTGTAAGCTTTTATTTACAATGAATCTGTTTGCTTCTGCAGGTCACTATGGCCACGCAAGAGAAGTCCAGTTGCAGCAAACAACGTGAGGATTCCTGTCATTTCCCTGAGATTATTGAACTCAATGTAGGTGGTCAGGTGTATATCACTCGCTATTCTACCTTGGTCAATATTCCTGGGTCCACACTCTGGGAAATGTTCAGTGAAAAGAATAAGTGCTCCCTGATCCAGGACAACAAGGGCAGATTCTTCGTTGATCGGGATGGCTTCCTCTTTCGCTATGTGTTAGACTACATGAGAGATCAGCAAGTAGTGCTTCCTGATCACTTCCCAGAGCGGGGTCGGCTCCAGAGAGAAGCAGAATACTTCAAGTTACCAGAGCTTGTCAAGATGTTGACTCCTAAAATGAACACACTCAATTCAGTCGACAACAGCCTATGCCAAAGTGACGTAGATGAGCTGTCTCCCAACAGTGACACTATATATAATCTCTCTTCGAGTAATGTCATCCGAGTAAGTGGTCCTGTTAACCCTCTAGCTCTGACAATCGGAACTGGTTCTGATCTCAAGAAAGCAGGCTTCATCACTATTGGCTACCGAGGCTCTTATACTTTGGGTCGGGACAGTCAAACAGATTCTAAATTCCGCCGTGTGGCCCGAATCATGGTGTGCGGTAAGATCTCATTGGCTAAAGAAGTATTTGGAGATACTCTGAATGAAAGCAGAGATCCTGACCGTCCTCCTGAGCGATACACTTCTCGCTATTACCTCAAATTCAACTTTCTGGAACAAGCCTTTGACAAGCTAGCTGATGCTGGCTTCCATATGGTAGGATGCAACTCCACTGGCACCTGTGCTGTGACCCACGATCAGACAGATGATAAGATCTGGACATCTTATACTGAATATGTTTTCTACCGTGACTGACTTTTAAAAGTCACCGGGAGAATCCAAACCAAAAAGCCAACTCTGCCTCCACTTTCCGCATTTACATCTTCTTACAGAAACTGACACATTATGCTTAGACCTTGAATTCTGTGTTTAATCTTGGACGATATAACTACCTTTACCATAAGTTATAAAATCCTCTTTGGTACCCTTCCTTCTTACACATCATCCCATTTTATATGGCTTCTAGTCTTGTGTGGATTGCAGAGTTGGATGCTATTTGGAAAAAGTATTCAATAGGCAGGCATATGTACACGCACATACTGTAGATAATAGAGAAGTATTTGTTGGCAAATGCACATAAAACTGCCACAGATTCTGTTAGTTGAGAAATGATGAGCAATGGTTTTCAAATATTTTATTAGCACCATATTGTGAATTCGCTTAACTATGTTGTTACCTGTACTCACTTAGGTAAAGTCCTTACTCATATATACTCATAGTGAATCATATTCTATAGTATATATATATATTTTTTTCTTTACCTTTTATTCTCTCTCTCTCACACACACACACACACTCGTTATTGTTCTTACCAAACTGAATAGAAGAAGGTGACAAAAGTCATCCAGGAAAGGCCAACCAATTCTTTAAATTATCAATTATTTCTAATAGTAAAAAGGAAAAAATCACATACACAATTGTTCCCAAGGATAAAACAATTATTGTTTAAATTGCTTTAACTTGAAAGGATTACTAATATGATGAGTATCATGATTATTACACACACACATAACCAAATATGCCATTTTGAAAGATTGTTCCCTAAATAACTATTTTATCCATAACATTGAAATGCAAGAATGCATAGGCAATGGAAGGGCAAACAAATAAATGCTTTATGTGAATATTAGTTAAATAGTTAGATACTACATGTTAGCTTTTAACTATTGCTTTTTCTTGGCTAATCTAGTGTGTGTCTCTGGGGTGGGAGTAGGAAAAGCAGCTAGAAGAGAGGGAAAAAGGAAACATAACTAAAACTCCAAATAAGTAAACATTAATCTGGAATTCTTAGTGATTACTTTTATTAAGCAGATTGAAAGCAAATACTCTCATATGGAAACATCTAGTATTTAAGAAAACGGATCAAATTATTGGAGATAATGTGACATGCCATGAAAAAGAGACTTGAAGATTCACTTCAGAGGACTCTTACTTCCTCTTTGAGTAGCTTAGCAACACTCCCGTTATCAGATAGCTTTATCTTCTTTTTATTCTCCCTTTATGCTTCCTTACTTCTCTGAATACCATTCCTTATTGCATTTATTAACTTTTCATTCATTATTGAGCAGAATTTTTTGGGATGCAAGGAGTTAAGATTCTTTCAAAGTGACTTGAGAAAATAGCAAGTGTGTGTCAGGGATGTGAGTTGTCTCATAGGGGCCCTGTGAAACCCAAGGATCACAAACGGAGTCAGTTTTGTTTCCAAGGACTGTAGACCTGTTCAGAAATGATTTCTTTCCTCTCTCAGAGAGCAGATGGCTTATTCTTTGATCCACTGTAGAGCCTGTTGCTTCCCTGTCTCTCCCTCCATACAGATCACCATTTTCTTTTCCTGCCTGAAACAGTTACATCATCCCATCAATGAACACAAATTTTTAGGCATGCTCTCCATAATTCTTTAGTGACTCATTCTTTATAAAATCTTAATCATCTGTAGCCTAGAACAGGATTAGTGGACAGTAGGATCTACTGATTGGGCAACCCAATTCTAATAGGGGACTTTTATAGATGTTTCTATAATCACCATATGTGCTTACACATAGTACACAATATATTTTCATTGTGTAACAGACTATCTGATGAGTCTTCTCATATATGTTAGTGGCCAGATCAATTATTAAAGAATGTGATGAGTTTATAATGTTATCAGGGAAATCTTGCATGTTCTTCCAATATAGTTATGTTAATTGATTTCTGATAAATGAATGATTGTTTTATAAGGTAGTTAAGCACTTAATTTAAGAGCTTATCATCATTTTAGAAAGGTGTGTTTTCATTGCTGTACTATGCTTGGTTTTTGCCATTTCCATGTCCCTTCTGCATAATTAATTTAGTATTCATGTCATGATATTTTTAGTTAATATATTTGCTATCCCTAATGCTTTGGCCACGTTTCTGGTATTCTCAGATCTCAGCAAGTCCATCTCTCTAGAAGTGAAAAGGATAGCATTGTTCCATCAGTCATATGTATATTGCTGTTAGTATGCAATGGTAGGGAAGTGGGTAGTGATGACTTGTTGCTTTATGTAACTATCTTGAGTTTTTTCTTCAAGAAATGTAGTCAACCTATATTACAGGTATTTGTAATATATTTTAGAAACAAGGATTTAACTCTGTCATATTTTACTGTATTCTTGTATTAAAATTACTTCTGGAACGTTGCCATTTGCTCTTCAAATTGTCATCATATTAGTTCAGATTATTTTCCTATATACCAGTAAGACAATAGGAAAAATAATAGTTGTAGTTCATTAAGAAGTTAGAGTATAGGAAGAGGCTAAATAGAGGCTAAATAGGGTGTAGTTAATTGGCCTGGCATGTCATTGCATATCTGTTTTTGTTTAAGGGCCTTTAGTGAGACAGATGTTCACATGTAATTGTTAAAACTTAAAGTCATAAGATATTTTATAGCAAGAATTTTTGTTTGATGCATTAGAAACTGAATTTAGTTGTTTCTTTATAGAAAATAAAATTATGCAGTTAATATAATATATTGGATAACATGATTCTTTGGCACTTTCACTGCCGCAGTTTATATTGTCCCTTACATCATCGCCTCTAGACTCTGTATCGTTCTGTCTGTATTATAACTAGTTTGCCACTCAGGGAAAATGTGTCTGTCTGGCAGAAATTTAACATGCCAGTACTCTAAAACGACAAGGGACGTGGAAAAACAAGTATCTATAATTTTAACTTATTTAAAGAGAAGCAAGTTTCTAAAATGCAAGGGTATTCAGTAAGAGGAGAGCTATTCAAATCCTGGATGCCTTTGAAAGTGACTGTTATCTATTTGGACTCAGAAGAAAGACAAGTGAACTGTGAAAAGGAAGAAAAATTGCATATCTTGTCCCATATGGTGAAAATCTACAGAATGTTAGCTGATAAGGTTTATTTTTCTTGCATCTGTTGTTCTTTAAAATGCTGTCAATAGTTTCAGGCCTTCAAATTACTTTTAGAGATCTGCATTGGTTTGAAAAACAAACAAACCCAGATGACACTATTATGTCATCAAACTAGCACAGTTCTATCTCAACAAGACTCTTAGGAATTATGGTTGGAACCTACTAGAAATTACGGTTGAAACCTAGTTGTGGTAAAACATTTTGAAGCACAAAATTTAAAAGAATAAAATCTTATTTGAAACTGATATAGGGAAAAAAATAAAACCAATAAATGGAGCACTTAGAAAACAACATGGATTATTTTATAATTATCATTGTTGGACATTCTTTGGGAACTCTAGGGTTCATAGAGTAGTTTGAGAATTTGTGTCTGTATGTTTTGCACTAGTGCACTTTTTATTTCTTTAACATTTACCATTTTTAATATTTTTATATTCACTTCATATGTGGACATTGCATACCTACAAATGTTATTTTTTTGAAAGCAGGGATATTAATATCACAAAATGTGGGCTTCACGACAGTGATTATAAATCAGAGAAAAGAATGCCTATTGTCATGTACATTGTATAATTCAGTGAAGCAATATTTATAACCACATAACATCAGATTAAGAATTAATTTTTTGAAGTCAGAGAGATTATTATTCCAAGAGGGCAGAGGAAATGTATCTGCAAAAATGTACAGGGACCGTTTGGTCAACAATTTGTGAAAAACCCTGAATTTAAGTTCCCATAAAGGTTTATAACTTGGTAGGTTGAAGCAGTTGTTCATTGTTTGGGGTTGTAAAGAAAAGCTATCAGTTTTATAGTTCATAATTTGATCTAATATGTAACTTTGAGGTGAACACTTAAGTATGAGCATGTTCCTGGCTCCCTAACTCATGGAATTTCATTTATATCTAAAAATAATTATGAAAAACTGATATTTTTATACTATTTAGTTTAAGGAACTGCAAAGAAGGGTAGAACACAATATTTTTTAAAAACCAATTTGGACAGTATGTGGTTTTTATTAATTATTTAATTCCAATCTTGTTTTTTAAATAGTTATTGACGTCTCTGGTGCCATCACATGTCATTATCTTACTGTTTAAAACCAGTTGAAAAACAAACATAAGAGGAGCCAGCGGTTTTTTTTTTTCAGTCTTTTGTTCCACTGTCTAATTTTAAAAAAATTTTTGCTTATTTATTTTATTTCATTTTAAATTCATTACATTGCATTATGTGACACAGTTTTATAAGCACTGGGATTCCCCCCACCCCTCCCAACCGCCCCCCATGGTGGATTCCTCCACCTTTTTGCATTACCACAGTTCAAATTCAGTTGTGATTCTTTGATTGCGAGCATATATCAAGCATAAAGTCTTATTGTCCAGGTAAGTTCAACGGTTTCTTGGGGAGACCATCTCTGGTCTGAAGGTAGAGCTGGCAGAGTATCATCCCGATCAATTAAAAGCCCCGACATTACATCAGTAACAATATATAACGTTATGGAATTAGTTGACATGGTATTGAGTAACCAATATGTTAAAAGAGAAAAAAAAATGCAAATTCTGAACCACATCCTGTGACTTCTACATTGACATTTCAATTATTAGTTTATATACAACTGGGTTCTATACACCTTAAAATGGCTGTAAGACTACTATTCAGCTGTCTCATGTCTATTTTAATTTTAGTATTTAGCAGTTTATAGCGTTGAAGCATGATTTTGCAGAACCTGGCTGTTTTTCGGGTAGTCTAACTGTATAACTCTAACAAGACATATGTCAACTGTTGAGGTGAACAGTTTTAGGAGGGGTGTGCAGAGAAATCTTCAATATCCTAGTGAGGAGTAACTAATCTTTGTGTCCCACCCAGTGAGTTATAAGTGCATCCCCACTGCCCGTTTCCTGTTTCTAAGCTTTCCTTGCTGCTCTCTATCTATTCTAGTTTTTTTGTTTATTTGTTTGTTTGTTAGTTTTGAGGGGTTTCTGGAGCGATCCTGATGGTCATTGCCAGAGAGGGTGGGGACCCAAAGTCAGAACCAGGCAAGGACCAGAGAAATCTCCCCTCCCTAGTTCCAAAGGAAGTTT